TCCCAGTGCTCCCAGTGCTCCCAGTGCTCCCAGTGCTCCCAGTGCCCATTCCCAGCTCGTGGGGATGGCGTGGGACAAGGGGGTCTTCCTCATGGAGGTGGGACCCCCCCAGTATCCCCAGTATCCCCCAGTGCCCTCCCAGTAACTCCCAGTACCCCCAGTACCCCCAGTATCCCCATTTCCAGTATCCCCAGTCCCTCCCAGTCCCTCCCAGTCCATCCCAGTGACTCCCAGTACCCCCAGTGTGTTTTTCCACAGGGTTTCTGGACCCGTTTTTTCCCGCCCCAATCTCTCTCCCAGTCCCTCCCAGTCCATTCCAGTCCATCCCAGTACCCCCAGTTTCTCTCTCTCTAGGGTTTCTGGATGTGTTTTTTCCTTTCCCAGTGCTCCCAGTGCTCCCAGTATCCCCAGTATCCCCATTATCCCCATTCCCAGTGCTCCCAATCTCTCTCCCAGTATTCCCAGTATCCCCAGTATCCCCAGTTTCTCTCTCCGCAGGGATTCTGGACACGTTTTTTCCTTTCCCAGTGCTCCCAGTATCCCCAGTATCCCCAGTTTGTCTCTCTCGGCAGGGTTTCTGGACGCGTTTTTTCCCGGCCTGGCGCCGCCTGCGCTCCCTGGCCCATTCCCAGTCCCTCCCAGTCCATCCCAGTCTATCCCAGTATCCCCATTACCCAATTCCCCGCACTCCCAGTCCCTCCCAGTGCTCCCAGTATCCCCAGTACCCCCAGTTTGTCTCTCCGCAGGGTTTCTGGACGCGTTTTTTCCCGGCCTGGCGCCGCCTGCGCTCCCTGGCCCATTCCCAGTCCATCCCAGTCCCTCCCAGTCCATCCCAGTACCCCCAGTATCCCCGCTATCCCCATTCCCAGTGCTCCCAGTGCTCCCTCAAAAAACCGCGATTTTGGTTAAAAACCGGGATTTTGGTTAAAAATACGGGTTTTGGGGGGAAAAAAACCAGGATTTGGGGGGGGAAAACGGGATTTGGTTAAAAACCTGGGGTTTGGGGGGGAACGGGACTGGGGGGGCCGCACGGCTGGGCCGAGGTGACCCGATTTGGGGCAAAAAACCGGGATTTTGGTTAAAAATACGGAATTTGGGGGGAAAACCGCGGGTTTGGGGGGAAAAACCAGAGTTTGATAAAAAACCTGGGGCTTGGAGGGGAAAACGGGACTGGGGGGGCCGCGCGGCTGGGCCGAGGTGACCCGATTTGGGGCAAAAAACCGGGATTTTGGTTAAAAATACGGAATTTGGGGGGAAAACCGCGGGTTTGGGGGGAAAAACCAGAGTTTGATAAAAAACCTGGGGCTTGGAGGGGAAAACGGGACTGGGGGGGCCGCGCGGCTGGGCCGAGGTCAGCCGGTTTGGGGGAAAAAACCGGGATTTTGGTTAAAAACCGGGGATTTGCGGGGGAAAAAATGGGATTTGGGGGGAAGAAACAGGATTTGGGGGAAAAAACGAGGTTTGGGGAGAAACAGCGGCGCTGGGGGGCCGCGCGGCTGGGCTGAGGTGACGCCGCTTTGGGGCAAAAAACCGCGATTTTGGTTAAAAACCACAATTTGGGGGGGAAAACGGGGTTTGGGGGGGAAAACGGGACTGGGGGCGGCGCGGCTGGGCCGAGGTCACTCATTTCGGGTTTTTTGGGGTGTTTTTGGGTGGGTTCCGGGTCATTTGGGTCTGGGGTCGCGCTGACGCCCCCTCCCCTGCCGCAGCTGCCCTCGCACATGAACTGCCCCACGGAGCTGCTGTGGGGGGGGCGCCGCGAGCGCTTCCCGCTGCCCCCCCCGGCCCGGCCCCCCAACTTCCCCCACGGCGCGGGGCTGCGCTACGAGGCCCAGCACGTGCGGGAGTGCCTGCTGCGGGGTGAGGTTTGGGGAGAAAACAGCGGGTTTTGGGAAAAAAACGGGGGTTTGGGGGAAAAAAACGTGATTTTTGGGAAAAAAATGGGGTTTTGGGGGGGAAAAATGGGTTTTGGGGCAAAAGGATTCAGGGAAAACCGGGGGGGTTTGAGATCCAGCACGTGCGGGAGTGCCTGCTGCAGGGTGAGGTTTGGGGCGAAAAACCCGGGTTTTGGGAAAAAAACGTGATTTTTGGTAAAAAAATGGGGTTTTGGGGGGGAAAAATGGGGTTTGGGGCAAAAAACAAGGGGTTTGGGAAAAGCCGGGGGGGTTTGAGATCCAGCACGTGCGGGAGTGCCTGCTGCAGGGTGAGGTTTGGGGCGAAAAACCCGGGTTTTGGGAAAAAAACGTGATTTTTGGTAAAAAAATGGGGTTTTGGGGGGGAAAAATGGGGTTTGGGGCAAAAAACGAGGGGTTTGGGAAAAGCCGGGGGGCTACGAGGCCCAGCACGTGCGGGAGTGCCTGCTGCAGGGTGAGGTTTGGGGCGAAAAACCCGGGTTTTGGGAAAAAAACGTGATTTTTGGTAAAAAAATGGGGTTTTGGGGGGGAAAAATGGGGTTTGGGGCAAAAAACGAGGGGTTTGGGAAAAGCCGGGGGGGGTTGAGATCCAGCACGTGCGGGAGTGCCTGCTGCGGGGTGAGGTTTGGGGTGAAAACAGCGGGTTTTGGGAAAAAACGGGGTTTTTTTTGGGAAAAAATGGGATTTGGGGCAAAAAATGAGGGATTCAGGGAAAACCGGGGGGGTTTGAGATCCAGCACGTGCGGGAGTGCCTGCTGCAGGATGGGTTTGGGGTGAAAAACCCGGGTTTTGGGAAAAAACCCCGGATTTGGGGCAGGACCCCCGGGTTTTGGGGTAAATCCTTGGTTTAGGGGTGAAATGCCCGGATTTTGGGGTAAAACCTCCCAGTTTTGGGGCAGAATCCCCGTTTTCGGGGTGAAACCCCCTGGGTTTTGGGATGGAACTCCCCGTTTTTGGGGTGAATTCTCCCGGTTTCGGGGCAAATCCCCAGATTTTGTGGTGGAACCCCCCGGGTTTTGGGGTAGAATCCCTGGTTTTGGGGTGAAATCCCCGGATTTTGGGGTGAAACCTCCTGGTTTTGGGTTAGAACCCCTGGATCTTGGGGTGAACCCCCGGATTTTGGGGTAAAACCTCCCAGTTTTGGGGCAGAATCCCCGTTTTCGGGGTGAAACCCCCTGGGTTTCGGGTTAAATCCCCGTTTTTGGGGTGAAGCCCCGGATTTTGGGGTAAATCCCCCCGTTTTTGGGGTGAACCCCCGGATTTTGGGGTAAAACCTCCCAGTTTTGGGGCAGAATCCCCGTTTTCGGGGTGAAACCCCCTGGGTTTCGGGGCAAATCCCCGTTTTTGGGGTGAACCCCCGGATTTTGGGGTAAAACCTCCCAGTTTTGGGGCAGAATCCCCGTTTTCGGGGTGAAACCCCCTGGGTTTCGGGGCAAATCCCCGTTTTTGGGGTGAACCCCCGGATTTTGGGGTGAAATCCCCCCGTTTGGGGGTCCCTGCCCCAGGGCTGACCGAGAGCCCCGAGATGCCGCTGGCCGAGAGCGAGCTCATCGCGCGCCTGCTGGACCAGGCCCGGGCACAGGTGGGCGTGGGGCCGGCCGGAGCCACCCCTGACCCCGAGTGACCACCGGAGTGACCACCGACCCTGAGTGACCTCTGACCCTCCCGAGTGACCACGGGAGTGACCGCTGACCCTCCTGAGTGACCACCAGAGTGACCACGGGAGTGACCCCTGACCCCTGAGTGACCACTGGAGTGACCACGGGAGTGACCCCTGACCCCGAGTGACCACCGGAGTGACCACCGACCCTGAGTGACCTCTGACCCTCCCGAGTGACCACGGGAGTGACCGCTGACCCTCCTGAGTGACCACCAGAGTGACCACGGGAGTGACCCCTGACCCCTGAGTGACCACTGGAGTGACCACGGGAGTGACCCCTGACCCCGAGTGACCACCGGAGTGACCACCGACCCTGAGTGACCTCTGACCCTCCCGAGTGACCACGGGAGTGACCGCTGACCCTCCTGAGTGACCACCAGAGTGACCACGGGAGTGACCCCTGACCCCTGAGTGACCACGGGAGTGACCACGGGAGTGACCCCTGACCCCGAGTGACCACCGGAGTGACCACCGACCCTGAGTGACCTCTGACCCTCCCGAGTGACCACGGGAGTGACCGCTGACCCTCCTGAGTGACCACCAGAGTGACCACGGGAGTGACCCCTGACCCCTGAGTGACCACTGGAGTGACCACGGGAGTGACCCCTGACCCCTGAGTGACCACCGGAGTGACCACGGGAGTGACCCCTGACCCTCCTGAGCCACCCCTGACCCCGAGTGACCACCAGAATGACCAATGGAGTGACCACTGACCCTCCTGAGTGACCACTGACCCTCTGGAGTGACCGCTGACCCCGAGTGGCCGCGGCAGCTCCGGTGCCGCCCGTGGCTCAATAAAAGCTCTGAAACCTCCCCAAAACACAGCCCGGCCACTCCCAGTTCATCCCAGTCCCTCCCAGTATGAACCAGTCCCTGCCAGTATAACCCAGTTTGAACCAGTGACTCCCAGCCTGTCCCAGTAAGAACCAGTACACCCCAGTATAACCCAGTTTGAACCAGTGACTCCCAGCCTGTCCCAGTAAGAACCAGCCTGTCCCGGTCTGTCCCAGTAAGAACCAGTACACTCCAGTTTGTCCCAGTTAGGTTTATTAGTTAGAGGAGCAGCCCGTGCTGGCGCAGCACGGCCGTGAACGGCGCCGCTCTGTTCCCAGTCCATCCCAGTATAAACCAGTGACTCCCAGTATGAACCAGTCCATCCCAGCCCATCCCAGTGTGTCCCAGTAAGAACCAGTACAGCCCAGTTTGTCCCAGTCAGGTTTATTAGAGGAGCAGCCCGTGCTGGCGCAGCACGGCCGTGAACGGCGCCGTTTTCTTCTCCCAGTCCATCCCAGTTTGAACCAGTGACTCCCAGTATAACCCAGCCTGTCCCAGTGTGTCCCAGTAAGAACCAGTCTGTCCCAGTTTGTCCCAGTTAGGTTTATTAGTTAGAGGAGCAGCCCGTGCTGGCGCAGCACGGCCGTGAACGGCGCCGTTTTCTTCTCCGCGTTGCGCTCGGCGCGGCGGCGCAGGCTCTGGAACGGGGAGAAAAACGGGGAAATTGGGAAAAATGGGATAAGAAACGGGGAAATTGGGAAAAACGGGGAAAAACGGGGAAATTGGGAAAAACGGGGAAAAACATGGGAAATAACGGGGAAAAAACAGTGGGAGAATTGGGAAAAACGGGGAAAAAAATTAATGAGATTTTAAAATAATTAAATTAGGTTTTAGAGGAATTAAATCAGATTTTAAGGGGATTTAATCAGATTTTAGGAGATTTTAATCAGATTTTAGAGGAATTTGATCAGATTTTAGGGGGATTTTAATCAGATTTTAGGGGAATTTAATGAGATTTTAAAATAATTAAATTAGGTTTTAGAGGAATTAAATCAGATTTTAAGGGGATTTAATCAGATTTTAGGAGATTTTAATCAGATTTTAGAGGAATTTGATCAGATTTTAGGGGGATTTTAATCAGATTTTAGGGGAATTTAATGAGATTTTAAAATAATTAAATTAGGTTTTAGAGGAATTAAATCAGATTTTAAGGGGATTTAATCAGATTTTAGGAGATTTTAATCAGATTTTAGAGGAATTTGATCAGATTTTAGGGGGATTTTAATCAGATTTTAGGGGAATTTAATGAGATTTTAAAATAATTAAATTAGGTTTTAGAGGAATTAAATCAGATTTTAAGGGGATTTAATCAGATTTTAGGAGATTTTAATCAGATTTTAGAGGAATTTGATCAGATTTTAGGGGGATTTTAATCAGATTTTAGGGGAATTTAATGAGATTTTAAAATAATTAAATTAGGTTTTAGAGGAATTAAATCAGATTTTAAGGGGATTTAATCAGATTTTAGGAGATTTTAATCAGATTTTAGAGGAATTTGATCAGATTTTAGGGGGATTTTAATCAGATTTTAGGGGAATTTAATGAGATTTTAAAATAATTAAATTAGGTTTTAGAGGAATTAAATCAGATTTTAAGGGGATTTAATCAGATTTTAGGAGATTTTAATCAGATTTTAGAGGAATTTGATCAGATTTTAGGGGGATTTTAATCAGATTTTAGGGGAATTTAATGAGATTTTAAAATAATTAAATTAGGTTTTAGAGGAATTAAATCAGATTTTAAGGGGATTTAATCAGATTTTAGGAGATTTTAATCAGATTTTAGAGGAATTTGATCAGATTTTAGGGGGATTTTAATCAGATTTTAGGGGAATTTAATGAGATTTTAAAATAATTAAATTAGGTTTTAGAGGAATTAAATCAGATTTTAAGGGGATTTAATCAGATTTTAGGGGAATTTGGTCAGATTTTAGGGGAATTTGATCAGATTTTAGGGGGATTTAATCAGATTTTAGAGGAATTTAATCAGGTTTTGGGGGAATTTCATCAAATTTTAGGGGAATTTAATCAGATTTTAGGAAAATTTAATCAGGTTTTAATACAATCAGACTTTAGGGGAATTTAATCAAATTTTAGAGGAATTTGATTGAGGAATTTAATCAGGTTTTGGGGGAATTTCATCAAATTTTAGGGGAATTTAATCAGATTTTAGGAAAATTTAATCAGGTTTTAATACAATCAGACTTTAGGGGAATTTAATCAAATTTTAGAGGAATTTGATTGGATTTCAGGGAATTTGATCAATTTTCGGTGAATTTAATAATGTTTTAGGACAATTTAATCAGATTTTAGAGGAATTTAACCAATTTTGGGTGAATTTAATCAATTTTAGGAGCATTTAACCAATTTTGGGTGAATTTAGCCCGTTGTGGGCTCTGCGGTGTCTCAGTTTTGGGTTTTTCTCAGCAGCAATCAAACAATGTAGGTACAGTGACATCATCGACACCGCGCCGGGGCGAATTTGGGGGATTTTGGGGAAATTTGGGTGAATTTGGGGGTTTGGGGAGGGGATTTTTGGGGTGGATTTGAGGGGTTTTGGGGCTGGGATTTGGGGTGAACCGGGGGATTTTGAGCAGGGGATTTTTGGGGTGGATTTGGGGTATTTTGGGGAGGGAATTTTTGGAGTAAATTTGAAGGATTTGGGGTGAATTTGGGGGATTTAGAGTGGGGGTTTAGAGCGGGGATTTTGGGGTGACTTTGGGGGGTTTTGAGAAAGGGATGAGGGGTGAATTTGGAGAATTTTGAGAGGAGATTTTTGGGGTGAATCGGGGGTTTTTTGGAGAGGGATTTTTGGGTAAATCGGGGGGGTTTTGGGGAGGGGTTTTGGGGTGAATTTGGGGAGGGGATTTTGTTTGGGGTTTTGGGGGTTTTTTTGGGGGGATTTTGGGTTTTTTTGCATGAGGATTTGGGCATTTAGAGGAGAATTTTTTTGGATTTTGCGGGTTTTTTTTTATTTTGAGGGCTATTTTTGGGGATTTTGGGAAGTGATTTCAGGGTTTTTGGGTATTCTGAGGGAGGTTTTGGGGTTTTTTTTGTGGATTTTGGGTATTCTGAGGCAGGTTTTTTTGGGTATTTTGGGTTTTTTTGTGGATCTTGGGTGTTCCGAGGGAGGTTTTGGGGTATTTTTGGAGATTTTGAGAAAGGATTTCAGGGTTTTTGTGGATTTTGGGTGTTCTGAGGAAGGTTTTTTTTGGGTATTTTGAGTTTTTTTGTGGATTTGAGGTGTTCTGAGGCAGTTTCTTTGGTTTTTTTTGGGTTCTGACCTCGGACCGTGCGCCAGAAGATGCGGCTGGGGGCTCGGAAGTGGAAGGGACCCCGCGAGGGGTTGGTGTTCATCCTCTTCCTCAGGAAGGCCAGGAACTTCACTGCGGGGAACGGGGCGCAAAAACATCAACAACGGAGCACAAACATCAAAAATGGGGCAAAAATGATCAAAAATGGGGCAGAATCCACCAAAAATGGGGAGAATTCATCAAGAATGGGACAGAACCCCTCAGAAATGGGGCAGAAATCCAGTAAAAATGGGACAGAACCCCTCAGGAAGGGATTTGGGAACCTCCAGGGATGGGAAAGTGCCCAAATCCCCCCAGAGCAGGAGGGGCTGGGGCTGCACCGAGCGCCCAGGACCTTCTGGAACTTTCCCACAACTCAAACCCACTGGAATCGCCCCCAAAATCCAGGGTTTTCCCCCCAAACCCACGGTTTCCTCCCCAAAATCTGGGATTTTCTCCCCCAAAACCTGGGACTT